AACCCAACTAGCTAAACCCACAGAATACTAATTTTTTTGTCTTCTAGTGTGTAATGTTTTCAGGTCCAAAGTCCTGATGAGGCCAGTAGTCTTGGGGACCACTTTTCTGTCATGGGTAATTTTTCCATTTCTTTATCCTTCTCCCAAATTCATCCTGCTAGTTTAAAATCCCTCTTGAAAAAGGATTTGTCCAGAACCCACTGCCCTGAATCCAAATCATTTATTTAACTCACAGGAACATGTAACCAAACTAGAAACCAGGTACAACCTCCAACCTGGAAGAAAATGACCCAAGACAGGAAGGAGAGGTCAATGGGCCAATCAGACTTCAGAGCCAAGGGCAACACAGGGATTGGCCGGCGCTCACCGCCTGGAGCTATTTATTATTAGCATGGAATCAAAAATCTTTTCATATTTTTTTCTGTGAACATTTCATAAAGCCAAAGTTTAGAGGGAAATATGAAAATCTGGAACCTCATATGAATAAATAAATTTACTTTTCCACAGCAATCTGTAATCAAACTTGAAGGGATCAGTTGTTTCCAGATTTAATTTGAAATTTATTTCATTAAAGGTGTTTTTATTAGTCGCCACCTCTGGGCCTTAGGATTTTATTCTAGTGACATTATTGCCTGGGAAACTGAGAGGAAGGAGCATAAATTATAGTTGTCCCTAGCTCACAATCCTATATAATAAAACCCTAATATGCAAATCGATCTAATGGTGAACGACCGGACACTATGATGCACACTGACCACGAGGGGGTAGATGCTCAATGAAGGAGCTGCCCCCTGGTGGTCAGTGTGCTCCCTCAGGAAGCCGGGCTCATGGCTGGTGAGCACAGCCATGGTGGCGGGACTCTCCTGCCTCCATGGCAGCACTAAGGATCCCTCGGGGGATGTCCGCCTGCTGTCTTAGGCCCACTTCCTCGCTAAGCCAGGAGGTGGACATCCCCCAAGGGGTCCCGGACTGCGAGAGGGCACAGGCCAGGCTAAGGGACCCTCCCTACCCCCAGTGCATGAATGTGCACTGGGCTTCTAGTATCAGGCTGCGTGGGGCAACCAGGCCGACAGGGAGGCTGTGAGGGGTGACCAGGCTGGCATGGGGAGGGGAGCAGTTGGGGGTGACCAGGCCAAAAAGGGGGGCAGTAAGAGGTGACCAGGCCGGCAGGAGGGGGGGCAGTTAGGGGTGACATGGCTGGCATGGGGGGAAGTTGGGGGTGATTAGTCAGGCAGGGGGGTCAGTGAGGGGTAACCAGGCTGGCAGAGGGGGGCAGTTAGAAGCGACCAGGTCGGCAGGGAGGGGGCAGTTAGGGGCAATCAGGCCGGCATGCGGAGGCAATGAGGGGCGATCAGGCTGGTGGGGGGGGGGGTTAGTTAGGGGCGACCAGGCAGGCAGGCAGGTGAGCGATTAGGAGCCAGCGGTCCAGGATTGTGAGAGGGATGTCCGACTGTCCAATTGGTTTAGGTCCAATCCTCAGGATCAGGTCTAAACCAGCAGTCAGACATCCCCCGAGAGGTCCTGGATTGGAGGGGGTGCAGGCTGGGCTGAGGGGACCTCCGCCCGTGCATAAATTTCATGCACCGGGCCTATAGTGTTAATATAAGTATTGGTCTTGTGGATGAAAGGGGCCACATGCTAACCTGACAAGCTCAGGGAAGGCCTGGTCTTGCAAACTCAGAGACCTAAAGTAACCACAAAGGATGGTCTTAAACTTTAACTAAAAGCAGTTATGGTGGGTAGTTACATCCTAGACCGGTATCTTCACTGACAAGGTCAACCTTTACTTTAACTGAGCCTATCTGCCTTTTTGCATCTATAATAACATATCCTTGAAATGTCTGGGTAACTTGTAACTTCCCTTTTTCTGGACCCCTTGGGGCACAACCTAATGTGCCTGGGCGCCAGGACAGATACCACAAATTCCTTCATGACCATGTTAATTGTTCCTGCACCCACCTAAGTATGTGTCTATCATTTTACTTTTTATCTAATCCCAGGGGTCCCCCTTCCCCTCCTCACTTTGCTTTCTTCTGCCTCTCTAATCTATCACCAATGGATTTCATCTAACCCACCTACGTCCCTTCCTTTGATTGCAATGTATAAAAATAGGTGTAACCTGACATTCTTGGGAGCATTATCTCAATCTGTTGAGGTTCTGCTTCCAGGCAGTTATCAACAGGTTGGCTCAAATAAACTCACAAAAATTCTTTACGGTTTGAATGTGTTTTTTTATGTTAACAGCCTCTACATGGGGGCTAGCAAACCTACGTGAGATCATACAGTATGTCTTTATCTCACTTAGCATAATGTCCTCAAGGTCCATCAATGTTGTCACAAATGGAAGAATTTCCTTCTTTTTATGGCTGAATTATATTTCATTTGTGTGTGTGTGTGTGTGTGTGTGTGTGTGTGTGTATACACACCACATTTCATTTATCTATTTATTTATGGACACTTAGGTGGCTTCCATGTCTTGGCTATTGTAAGTAATGCTTCAATGAACATAGGGGTTCAGTTATCTCTTTGAGATCGTTATTTCAATTCTTTAGGACAAATACTCAGAAGTGGAAGTATGAAAATATTCTTATTTTTATTTTTTTGAGGAAACTCCATACTGTTTTTCACAGTGGCTCCACCAATTCACATTCCTACCAACAGTTGTACAGGGTTCCCTTTTCTCCACATTCTTGATAACACTTGTGATCTCTTATCTTTTTGGTGATAGTCATTCTAACAGGTGTGAGATGATAGCTCATTGTGGTTTTGATTTTAACTTCCCTGAAGATTACTGATGTTGAGCACCTTTTCACTTACCTGTTGGCTATTTGTATGTCTTTGGAAAAAATGTCTATTCAATTCCTGTGCCACTCTTTAATCAGATTTTGATTTATTTTTATTTTTATTTTTGCTATTGAGTTGTATGAGTTCTTTATATATTTTGGATATCAACCCATTACCAGATATATAGCTAGCTCACTGTATGTTAATATAAGTACTGCTGTCTACATTGGGGCTAACAAAACTTGCTAAATCTAGCCTGTGTTTGTATAGTCTATGAGCTAAAAATGGCTTTTAGGTGTTTAAGTGGTCAGAAAATATATTAAAACGGAAATAATATTTTGCAAAATGTAAAATGATATGAAATTCAAATTTTTGTGTCCACAAATTAACCTGTTTTGGAACATGGCCATGCCGGTTTGCGTATGTATTGTCCACGTCTGTGGTGTGTTTTTGTTGTTGTTTTTTTTTGCCATAACAGCAGAATTGAGTAGTTGCGACAGAGACCGTAGGGCTTGCAAAACCTAAAATATTTACTCTCGAGCCATTTACAGAAAAAGTTTGCTGACTCCTGCTCTAGCGCATTTACAGATATAGCCTTACCCAGTTTTACACCCTCACCCAGGGTTTCTCTCAGTAGTGGGAGAGAAGAGAGATGTCCCACAGGACTTGAAATCAAGTATTGCACTTCTGTTGGCCAAATGTGTAGATGCCACTCAATCAGGCAGGACGAGGAGGGAATTGTTCATCTAGTGTCAGAAAAAGAATGAAAGATGAACAGGATAAATGATAAAGTTGAAGCGGACATTTAGCATCTAAAATGAAATGCTACAAGTCCAAAATGAGGAAAGCCCGAGGGAAAGTATGGCATTGACATTCCAAATAATGTTGTCATATTGTAGTGGGAAGTAAGTCACTTTCTCAAGAGAAGCAAACATGGACAAGCTTTTGCAGGAGAATTGGTCAAATCAGCTGTTGTGTTTACACTGGGGAAGATAAAAGGAGCCGCTTAATGCTGTAGAGCCAGGAGTGGATGTGAAACCGAAGGCTTGGTCTTCGATGCCTGGCCTTGCCACTCACTAGCTGTGTACTACAACCTAGCTAAGCTTCTTTATTTAAGTAATAGAAATACTATCTCCTTTGAAAATTCTTGAGGGAATTAAATAAGGTAATGTTAAAAGAGTTTGGTAAATCTAAAACAGACAGATGTGGGACAATGTTAGTGTGAGAAAGCCAGGCTGTAACAATGACTATTCTCAAGGACTGAAGAATTATCCCAGGGTTTGCACACTGTACAAAGGGTTGCAGCCAAGTAGGCCAGTGAGGGCTTGCCAAACCGCTCTGGTCTGGCTCGGGCTGAATCCAGGAAGAGGAGCATCTTTTTTTCATAAAGCATCTTTTGCTGCCAGACTTGCACCCATTCGGAGGAGGTATCTTTTTAAAAAAAAAACAAACAAACATATATTTTATTGATTTTTAGAGAGAGAGGAAGGGAGAGAAACACTGATGTGGACCAGGAATTGAACCAGCGACCTTTTGGTGTATAGAACGACACTCAACCAACTGAGCCGCACTGGCCAGGGCCAGAGGAGGTATCTTTCCACATTCCTTCTCACAAAGGTGCTGATTAGGTTACATATTTACATGCGAATATACAGCAGTGTTGTGTATTTCAACTGTAGTCAAGAGGTGATGGAAGATAGTTGTTATCTATCTTCCTCAGAGGAGATAGAATATCTTAAGCAAAGAAGAGCTCAGCCAGGCAAAGAGACGCTTTCTGTTGATCTGAGAGAGCTCCAATATTAGCCCACTTGAGGCAAGAACAGAGTATCCAGCTTTGCAAAATCTAACAAAATAGAAAACCCAAGTGTCTGCCTTCTGAATGTCTCCCTGGTTCTCTGATTCTCATGTTTATCTGGGACTGGAAAACAGAGACTGCCAAGTGGCTTCCCCATCTTCACTCACCAGATAATAAAATGGTTTCTTTTTCTTAATTAGATTTGCATTTATCAAACATCAAACTGTGCTGCACGGTGGTAATAAGTAAGAAGAAAACATGCAGGGAATATTTGAAACATTTTCGGAGTCTTTACAAATGTCATATATCCTGTGCATACATCTTATTTCTATTTTCCCTGACATTTATTGATTACTTCAACTTTTTAACCTCGTTTGTAAGAACTGCTTTCCATATGATGATGCTTCCTCTCCATTTGCAGGAAGCTGAGCCAATCATTGAGCAATACATGTCCACAGCAACACAGGCGTCAACAGCAAATACACTGCCTGCTCTGAGCCCGGAATTGAAATAAAAGCGAACAGGTAAGCTGTTGGCCTGAGCCAGATGTAACTTTTAACGATCCCAGCATGCTGATCTCCCACTTTTGGAAATTCTCAGAAATTGTAGTTAAACAATGGCTTCCCTCTCAGAAATACTTTATGCAGAGGACTCTTTGCCTGGAACATATTTTTTTTTTTTTTTTTGCAAAACAATGACTTTGTCACCTGTACAACTGCACCATAGAGAACTTTTCAGTGATGGCAAATGTCCCACAAGATAAATACCATTTAAAATGCATTCAATGACTGAAGGGGTGCTCAAGAACTTTTGCTACAAAGTACTTTACATTATATATGCCTTTCTATATTATTTAGTCTTTCAGAATAACTCTGTGAGACACAGACAAATATGGCCCTTATCTAACAGATGAGGAAATACAGTTTGAAAGAAGTTAAATATTGGAATTGGGTTCACACAAGAAGTTAGTAGCTAAATCAGTTTCAACCCATAACTCTTGGTCAGGTTCTTTTTGGCTACTCTCACTGAATAACAGGAGAAAAAAAGAAATGTATTTTTGGCTATTCTGAATGACAAATAAGCAGATACCACCACCAGTTCACATTAGATGTTCAGATATATATATTTGATTTCAGAGAGGAGAGGGAGAGAGGGAGAAACATCAATGATGAGAAAATCATTGATTGGCTGCCTCCTGCACGCCCCCTACTGGGGATTGAACTCATGACCTGGGCATGTGACCAGGCTGCAATCAAACTGTGACCTCCTGGTTCATAGGTCGATGCTCAACCACTAAGCCACACCAGCCGAGCTATACTAACTTCTTGAGCAACTCAAATTTTTGTTTTATTTTATATTGGAGCCATTTACATTGGGGCAGTTTATCAGTGATAAATTATACATCATATATTATAGTTCAGAAATCCTTATGGAAGCCAATGAAATTTACTATATTGGACAACTCTTGGTCAGTTACTCTACAAAGCTCTCAATAAAATGTGAGCAAATAAAATGATGGCTCAAAAAATTAAAAATGGAACTCCAGTAATCCCACTTCTAGGAATATATCCCAAGAACAGAAAGAACATATGCACCCCTATCTTCATAGCAGCACAATTTACAATAGCTAAGATTTAGAAACAGCCTAAGTGCCCATCAGCAGATGAGTGGATTAAAAAACAGTGGTACATCTACACAATGGAATGCTATGCTTCTGTAAAAAAGAAAGAAATCTTACCATTCCCAATAGCATGGATGGACCTGGAGAGCATTATGCTAAGCGAAATAAGCCAGTCAGAGAAGGATAAGTATCACATAATCTCACTCATTTGAACTACATAAACTGATGAACAAAAATAGATCCAGAGACATAGAAATGTTGCATAGACCATCAAACCTCAGAGAGAAGGCAAGGGAGGGTAGAGGAGGGTGGGGGGTAAGAGATCAACCGAAGGACTTGTATTCATGCATATAAGCATAACCAATGGACACAGACAGTAGGGGGGTGAGGGCATGTGCTGGGGCGGGGGTGGGTGGGAGCGTCTGGGGAAAGGTCAATGGGGGGAAAAAAGAAGACATATGTAATACTTTCAGCAATAAAGAATTTAAATTTTAAAAAAGGATGGTTTTGAATACTAGGAAAGACTAGATTACTGCGTTCAAGATCAGATCACATTTTGGTATGGTAAGGACAAGAAGACTTTCTTTTTCAAGAAGAATAGATTCAAGGATACTCATTGAGGTGCTGTTTAATGAGGTGCTGTTTAATAGGTCCTAATAACAGCCTGATCTTCATTGGTCTAACTCTGGAGGAAAAATTCCCGGGGAGAGTTAAAAAAGTCATGCAATGATTCCTGCATACCTTTATGAGAAAACAATTGGACAATTTGCATCATTAGTCACATGTCTCCTGATTTTCTGATAACCTTGGGTCCCTTTGAGGATGTAAAAAATATCAGTAACAGCAGCTAATTGGTTGGGGCCTAGAATCCCATTTAAGCATATAGATGTGCCACAGTTTAAAAATATGTATTTTAATGAGTGTTGAAGGTGTATATCAAATTTAATATTTAGAAAGTTTGGTGATCACTGATATTTGAGAAAAGCAAACTTAAGTCAGAGAATTTTACAGAAGAGTAAATAGTTGAGAAGAGAGGAAAAGAGATTAGCACAAAAGGAAAGAAATAAAGAAGAAAGAGACAAACAATAAATCTTAAGTCCAATGACAAGACTTTTGACCCTGTCATTGGTGTTCAATCCAAAGGTATTGAAAGGAAACTGTCTACATTTGATGTCATCTTTTCTATTCATCGGGGGTTGGGGAGAAGCCGATGACTTCCAGAAGTTGTTGGCTTCCTGAGGCCTTTTGGAGCTCCTTTAGTCAGGTATCCAGTGGTCTAGGTCGTGGGATCCAGATGGAGGATCCTAAGTGTGTTTACCAGCAAGAATGTGTCTATGACGTATGTCTTGGAATTTAATAAATTTTTTTGTAGTTAAGAGTACTTAAAAGTACTTAAAACTTTCCATATAGTTTTAAGACTGACTTTCATCGGAGCTTGAATATATTTGGTCTTCTAAATCTGTGTCATGTGGTGCTGAATTCAGTCATGTACCTTTGGGAATTTTAGCTCACATCTGTTGGACCTATGACCACATGTCAACCTGATCATATCTGACAAGACCAGGATGTTCCAAGTGGCATCTGTCAGAGGAACAGTCAAGATGAGACTCGAGGGGCTTTATGTAACCATTTTATACAGTGAGAATTTATGAGGGCTTGGACAGGTCCCATTAAAATTGAAAACCAGGATAGGTTTGGTTATAAAATACCATTAGCTCATTTTATGCTCTTAGAGTTTCGGAAATAATATGTCAGTGACACATTTCTTTAAATATTTCTTTACATATTTTAAGTGTAAAGTGAAATTTTCTAAAAAATAATCTGTTTTTTCCTGGGTTATGATAACTTTAGATTAAGCAAGCTTTGATCACCTGTTGAGTCTCTCAGGTAAAATTTTCCCACCCATAGTTTGTAAAGTCTGAACCAAATTTGACCCTGCCACTACCACTAGGTTACTTCTTTAGTGCATATGTATAACGATGTGGCTCGGAAACATCCAAGGATGTGAAAATTTTTTGAAATAATATATTTTCTTTCTAGTGGAGTAAATTGTTATATTTGAGTAAGCCCATTTTATTCAGAAATCAGATCGAACAACTGTCTTAATGATAATAACACTTGTAAGGGTTATTTGTTTTGTATAATAGTTGGCTGATATATATATATCAGTCATATATATATATTTAGAATGGGCTTCAGTCTTAATTACTGAGATTTTCTTTAGATGTTGGATTATTCCAATAAGTAGACATTAATTTCCTTTTTAAAAATTTGATTGGGATGTCCAAAGATGTTAGAAAAACCCTGTTTTAAAAATAGAGTAATATGTCAAAATCATGAAAGACCAAAAATATTTCTATGCATCAGGTGTTGCTGTAAGATGATTTAGAGTGAAGCAGGTCTGCAGCCAAGAAAATTAGGAAAACTTTGCAATGTTTTTATAGGCATGCGGTGAGAATGGAAAGGAAGAAACAGATCTGCAGTTGCAAATGAAGTGAGAACTGGCAGGATTACCTGAGAGAGAAGGCACAGGAGAAGCCAAAGATGATGTCTAGATCCTGGGTCACTGGGATTGAGAAGGAAACCCCAGACAGAAATGAGTTGATAGTACGGTGGAGCTGAAGGGGGGTGGGGAGGAGGATGCAAGCAAGGAAAAAAAGGCAAGTGTAACCTTGTGAAAGAGGAGAAGGAAAGATATGTGCGCTTTCATTCATTCATTTATTAATTACCTCATTCCACAAGGATCTGAAACCATTTATAAAATTACATAGAATATAAGTAGATGAGGGAATTGGTGGATGAGAACAAATAAGCACAGGAAATATCAAATCCAGATGTGATGTTAGCACATAGGTTTGTGTACGATAGACACTACACTGCACGTTGCTAGGGTGATGGCGTAAATTTGGCTCCAAACCTCTTAACGACCTGTGCAGGCACAGGAGCCTACCAGCAGAGGATTCCCTGCATCCATGAAAACGAATCTGCAGTTTAGTAGGAGCATAGCTTTCCATGATGCCAACGCTTGAATATTTTCCTGTTGTGCACAGAAAAAGGACACAATGATGCAACAGATGATGTAGTCTCCTGTCAGATCCCTTCCGGGATTTGAATGGAGCAAAAGAATTGACATATGATGCTGCCAGCCGTCCCCTCCTCCCTGCTCCTTAGAGAGTGCTTTGATTTTGTGCACCCAGCTTCTTCTCCCCCTTCACCATTTAAAAGCAGTTTGGCTTTTGCAGACTTTCCCTCCTGGATTTTGTTGCTGACTAATTGAGGAGAAAAGGAGAGGAATGGGAAGCCAAGATATGTGTGAACTGAGGTTGGGAGAGAGCCCTTTACAGAGTTTTTGGAGGAGAGGCTGGCTCAGAGGAGCCACGAGGCATGAAAGAAGCACAAGGAGAACAAGATGGTTTTGAGAAACATTGCTGCTGGTTATGTATCTCCCTCATAATGTTTGAAAAATATTAACCAGGGACTGCTTTATTTTGAAGTCTTATTTGGTTGCTGGAGTTGTTTTTCTGTGGGTGCTGGCCCCATTCAGGGACCGTTTCATTATGGATACATGAGGGAGCTGCAGGGTGGGATGCGGGCCTGTGTTGCTGCACTCTTGCTGTGTGCTGGACTAAATCATTGCTGCATGCATCAGCCGGGAGCACAGTTTCCTCTTTGATGCTTAGACCCAGAGCCCAGGTGACCTTGAAACACTGGGACAGGGGCCAAACTTAAGATCCACTTGGAGTTGCAAACCAAGAGAGAGTGTACTAGCGGGTGTATGTTCACTGCATAGAGTTGTTTCATCAGAAACAAAACAAAACAAGAAGTCTCAAGAAATGACCAAGTTGAAATTGGTTTCTATGTCAATATATTTCAATATCTACTTTCTTTTTAAAAAATTGATTT